AAATTCTTTAGTGACTCTTTTAGCCACTACAGCTAGACGGAGAAGTTTTTAAACTCTCTTCCACCAAATCGGTGCGGCAGAGGACCGGACTCCTTTCACAGGCAGAGAACCTTGACTTCTTTTCACCCTCCTAGTGAGATGGAGAACATTGACTCCTTTTCACCCTCATGATGAGACAGAGAATCTTGAATAACTTTCACCTTCCCCGGTGCGGCGGAATAGCTGGGTCCTTTGACACCAAAGAGATCTTCTTTCCAAAACTTCTCTTAAGACGAACCTTGAATCCGATAGTACTAAGATACAAACTTGCCAGAGGAACCATGTGAAACCCCCTCCACACTCCCTTGAAACCCACAACGATCTTCTCCCTTTTAAACTCCATTTTTTCTCTCCCTTTCAATGCTCTCTCTTCAAATTTTCTCCAGAAGAACGAATACTCAATGCATGACAAAGACACAATGTCTTTGGAAAAAGCTTAAATGGAGGGCTTCAAAAATCCTAAAAAAGTCAAATATGCTATCAAATATCATACAGTAAGTACGATCGCTGGATTGTCCAATACGATGTGCAGAATTTGACTTGATAGTACTGTACGATCCCCAGATAGTCCCGTACGATTAGTATAAATTTGTACGGTCGTCCTGGACGAGTAGTTCAACTGAAATGCAGTTCGACCATTACGACAAAAATTGTCTATGTTGATCGTACAATATGATACAGTTCGTACAATACAATCAAAATATCAAAATTAAGCAGATTCGATTGACTAATCATAAGATCAATTTAGGCATGATTATTATAGATCGTCCAATATGATGTACATCGTCCTGGACAATTAGAACAAAATATGAAATTCAAAATCTTGCATAAATTATGATTGACGGCTATTTTTATGATCATAAATGATCGTCTTGGACGTTCTAAATCGTCTAGTATAATTAGTTAGATGAGTTGATTGTACAATACGATATAAATCGTACATTACGATTAGTTCAAAATTTGAACATTTAATTTTGATTCAATCTCACTCCTCCTGAGTGTGTGTGTGCACATGGTTATCAAGCTAGCATACACCATTACAGGAAATAACTCAAGAAATTAAAAATACATCAGTGAATATTACAAAAATCTTTACATCATAACCTATTCTACCCAATCTTGAGCCTTGAATCTTCGTTGGATGGTATATGATGTTCCTGAAATATTAGTACACAAAAAAACAAAAATACATTATAAATACAAGTAGACATAAGGATTTAAGCCACAATGTTTGTTATCATAAAAAACATAAACTCGTGAGTTCGAGTTGCAACAAAATACTTTCCAAACTTAAAAGAGATTAAATTAGAAAGTACTTAAAGTCTAGATTTTGAAAATTTGAACCCAAAGGGAAAGTACCAAGGTGGCCGGTGGCTAGTGCAGATGGTGGGGCCTTGGGGCAGCGGCTAGGAGGGGAAAGTGGGGATTTAGGTCGGCAGTTTAGGAGGGGGAAAGTAGGGTGGAGTCGGCCTATGGTGTGGTGGGGCATTTTGGCCAAAGAGGAGAAGGGGAGATGGGGGACGGTGGCTTGGGGGAGGGGAGGAAGGCTGGCGGCTAGGAGAAGGGAAGGAGGAGAACCACGAGCCCATAGGCTTCCTGCGACTGATGGGTAATGCGTTGCCTTCACCTAGGGACTTCACCAAGGTTCTCACAAGAACTCTCAAAACTCACAAAGGAACAAAAGTGTAAAAATTTCATAAGAATCATCATTGCCCTCTTCAAAGAAGAGAGATTATAAATTGCTAAATTACAATAATAAGCTAAAAGACAATAGCGCTCCTAAGGGTCACAAGCAACTACTCACTCAAGTGAGGGTAAAAATGAAAAATTGCGATAATAAATCAAATATATAATAATAATAAACCCAATACAATTGATAGGTCAAAAATAAAATGGTGCGATCATGGCCGTAGATCATCGGCCCCTTCTCTGGCAGACTCTCCATGGTCGGATGTCCTCATCAGTTTCACTAATAATTCTCTTTTCTTTCTTAAGTATATGCTGTAGTAGTTCATCTCTCTCTCTTCCTAAAACTAGCTTTTTAAGCTATTTTTTATTATCTTAGGAACATAATTACCAACCAAATTAAAAATGTCATCATAGACTTCTAAACAAGTGGAACCGAGCTCGAGCATCCCCGGATTGAGCTTGATTAATTAATCAAACTTGAGCTTGAGTTTGAGCTTAATTCTAAGAGTTCGAGTCAGATCACAAGCCGACTCATTTGTTTTGAAAAAGATAAATGATTTTGATGCAAGCAGTTGATATAATAAAAGAATAAACAGAATAAAATATTAAAGGATAAATAATAATAAAAACTGCTTGATATTATGGAATTAAAATTTAAAAATTAAATATTTTTTTAATAACATTGTACTTAAACTCTTGAATATTAATATATTTTAAGCATATCATATAGTAACATTTTTTAAATGAGCTAGTTCACAACTAATGAGTCAAGGTTGGGTTGACTGACTTATAGCTTATCGAGCTCGCTCATGAGCCATTTATTCAGTCATGCCTGAGCTCACTAATGAGTCTATTTGACTCAATTACATCCTTAAATCTTGAGTAATTAAATTAATAACCCCTCATTACAAACTATATGCAGCTACACATTTTTATTGTTTAATTCTTTATCCACTACTATCCTTTTTATTTCAATCAATAACCTTTCTAATATACAATAACTTATAACTATCTTCATTGTCCAAAGAATTTTATTCGCCCCATTTAATTTCTATCAAATAAATAATGTTGATCCATTTTTTAATTATTATTTACAATTTTTCATCTTTCAATTCAATATCACCGAACTTTTTTTAGCCTATCTAATCTTAATGTTAGACTTGGTCCATCTTTACTCATTTTTTATGAGAATTGTGTAAAGTTGTCAAGCCACTTGCATTGTTGTCTCCCTTACAAGTGGGGAAGCATTAAAGAAAACTGAAAACTAACCTCAAATCTGATTCAAAATGCTAGAATTAAAGATTTAAAGGCTGAATCTATTCTAACCCTTAAACAGAGAAAGGAAAAAAAAAACTGATAAACAGCCTTAGCTCTAGATTGAAGAGGAAAACAAACTCTCCCAATACTAGAGATAGCTCACGGGATACCAGCCTGAAATCAGCTGAACTTCCCTGTCCTGTACCTTCAGCTGGAATTTATTGGATTGGTTTGGAATACACTTCCGCCATCTGATATGGATGGTTTCTTAGGCAACGTAGCTGTGGTACTATTTTTTCGAGTGATGACAGCTCTTATCTAATTCATTTTTTTTGAAATTATTGGAGTGACTTGAATTAGCGCCACCAAAAATTGCACGGGTAGAGGAAAATTTGGTAGATCACTTATTCAATAAACTTAACGAAATTAATAGCTAAGAGGAAAAACAGAGAACCTGATTGGGCCTTTGAATCAAGATGAGTCTGACAACTAGAATATAGGTTTCTTGAAATGTAGAAAATTGTTGAACTTTGCATATATTTTCTTGCACAACCCACAGATGATTAGAGACCGGATTCTCCTGTGTTTTTGGCTTTTTGCTGTCTTCAATATCCCCATGATCGCCAAATCTCTCCTCCAAAACTGCTGCTTGAGAACTGTAGAAGAGGAAAGTTCTCGGCTGAGTTGTGGGAAAGAAAATCAGGCTTACTGCTGCTGCCAGGAATTCTTCCAACATTTGGGAAATTGCTGAAGGTACGGACAATGCACAGCAAGAGGGTAAGACTCTGGGCAAGCCAATTTTGACAAGGTCTTGGACCCCACTATAGCTTCTTACTTCACCCCCCGTCGAAGGTAAGGGGAAATCCAGCCCAAGGTGTAGAGAACTCCTTCCCAAACTCAGGAAACCTGAAACGAACTATTAAAAAAAAAACTTCCCCACGTAATACTTAGGTATTTATATGAAAAACCAGTGGGCTGAAATTATGCGAATTACTACATTACCCTTTATTTAAAAAATCCAAAAAGAGACTTAAATGAAAGTAAAAAATAATTAAAAAAATTTACTGCCCTTTCTAACCATATCAATTGTAATAAAGAATTGTCTATTTTTCATCACATTGGGTTTAGTTGTGACACTTCATTTTCAGATGATGTTATAGCCAATTCTTACTTTTCACAACATTCCTATTAAATTGCGATGCATGACCAATCACTAATGGTGATGTTCTATGATTCTATCAAAATTTTCTAAATCCTTGTCTACTAATTCTTTAGTTTTCGCATTAATTTCAAAATTCGTTGTAGCACAAAAGAAATCTTATTTATGGATTTCTCCTGTTCACTTTTCATGAAAATCGGTGACACTTTGTCCAACCTTTTTCTTATTCTCACTATCATCAACTTAAGTTGTGGCATGCCATTTTTAGGTGGGCATTAGCTAAATCTGTACACTTCCCCCCATAATCATTTTAGTTTTAATTTTTTTGGAACATTCTAGCTCTAGCTAATTTTAAACTATGGAACATTTTATAATTAACGGTAAACTTAATATCAAGCTTAAAAATAATGTTAGGATTAGATAAGTACTTGATAAATGTGGATAACAGCGAGATTTATAGTTGCAAGGTCAAGGCATCTCTCGAGTAAAATATGAAAGCTTAAGGAAATGTCCAGTGTTTGATGAAGAAATATGTAGTAATCTGCTACCGTCGTGGGATAAATTTGTTGTGAGGGGTTTGCATAAATTGAGATATTGAAATAAAGCTAATGATGATACTGATTGATGGTGAACAAGGCATTATAGCACCTTGGAATAGTTTGGATGACCTTACAAATGATGGTGAAACGAGGGTATGTGATCTTTCTATATATGTTCATAGTGCTCTGGTTTTTTTTTTACTTATGTAATAGTTTGACTTGGTAATACGGTTTAATTTGAAATGAATAACTTTGCTGTTATATTTAACTTGATTATTTTTTGATGTTGATGCGAATTAAATGTTTACTATTTTCAGGATATTGAATTATCAAAAGAAATAAATGATTCTTTCAAACAATCATCCCAAGCCAGAACTAAACTTCCAAGTGGTATTGAGTTGAGCGTTCATGTTTTAACGACAGGGTGAGCATTACCCATTTAATATTGATTTGGCATCATCAAAGGCTGAAGGGAAAACTTCACCATCTAATTTTGAAAGCTAGCTACCTGGAGTATGTTTATTCCATTCTTTTATTCTGTTCAGGTACTGGCCAACATATCCGCCAATGGATGTTCGTCTTCCCCATGAACTAAATGTTTACCAGGTCAGTTCGCTAATACTGTTGCATTTCCATATCGGCGTGATTGGCGGGATGCCCTTTCAAAGAGAATTATTCTGATTCTTATTATTATTATAATTGGCTTTTTTCTTTTACCTCACAGGATATATTTAAGGAGTTCTACCTAAGCAAGTACAGTGGAAGACGGTTGATGTGGCAAAATTCACTAGGCCATTGTGTTTTAAAAGCAGAATTTCCTAAAGGTAAAAAGGAGCTAGCGGTGTCCTTGTTTCAGGTGGGTCTATTTTTTCCTTGCTAGTAGTTTTTCTTTTATCTGTCATACTTACTAACTTTTTGTTGCTTGGCTCCTATGTGTCAGACTGTAGTCTTGATGCTCTTCAATGACACTCAAAAGCTTTCTTTTCAAGATATTAAGGATTCTACTGGTATTGAAGATAAAGAGCTTAGAAGAACCTTACAGTCGCTTGCATGTGGCAAAGTTCGTGTTCTCCAAAAGGTGCGCTAATTCATGTGTAATATAGTTTTACTCATCCAATTATCAATAATTCATCCTACAATGAGGGTCCTTTATTCAATCAAAACCATCTTGATTTATGATTTGCCATAGATACCAAAAGGAAGAGAAGTAGAAGATGAAGACTCATTTGTATTCAACGATGAATTTAATGCACCATTGTATCGTATAAAAGTAAAGTACTCTTCCTTAAAATATTTGTTCTTTAAAGGATTTTTTTTTCTAAAGTGTATTATCAATAGGTAAATGCAATTCAAATGAAAGAAACAGTAGAAGAAAACACGAGCACCACAGAACGAGTATTCCAGGATCGCCAATATCAGGTTTGTTTATGATTACTGACGCATTTAGTTTCTTTAACAATTTACTATGGTGACTCATTTTATTGAAGTTGCTTCTCTTTCTTCATTCACACTTCAATCAAAATGCATACTGGGTCAAGGTTAATCTAGATGAGCAAGCAATTTCTATATTCATCTTAATTCAAAGCTTTACTTCTTTATTCTTTTTTCATGTGAGGGAAGAAGGGAGGATAAAGGGGCCAACAATGGTGAGTTGGCCCACGGTTGACGGTGATGTCTACAATGATAGTGAGGGGAGGGGAGAGGGAAGAAGGATGAGTAGGATCCGGAGGAGAAGAGTGCAACTATGGAGGGTTGTGATCATTATTGTTGACAAAGGAGAGAAAGAAGGGTTTGGAATTGAGTAAAGAATGGGGGAGACTACTAGGCTTAGTGATGGCTGCTTGTAGGGAGTAGGGACTAGGATGAAATTGGAGAATAGGGAGCAAATGGATGATAATAAAAATTAAAGAGTAAGGAGAAGGGCGTAGTTGCAATGGATATGGGTTCCAATATCTTTTCTGATGACAATTTGGTTTAAGTTTAGATCGATAAAGAACTTGGTCATGATGACCTAATTTTGTTTAGAGTTGTTGCAGCTAGGGATTAGCTCTTCGAACTTGTTGTGGTGCTATGTAATAGAAAGAGTACCTTATCTCAAATTATGAAATTGGACGACTTTGTTGATGTTGTTTCTATCTTCTATGATAGTTAAACGAGCATGCATGGTGTTGATATGATCGTTGTCAATACGATCAATTTCATTTGGAACACTCTATATAGTTTTTTGTAGATCCTATCAACTTGATGTTTTCGTGCTAAATAAAATCTATCTCAAACATATTATACTATGGAAATACACCCTTGATCTTAATGAGATAATCCAATAAAGCATTTGGGTAATGATGACCATCTTACGGGAAAAAAACATGTAAGCTGGTGTGACTTGAAGGATCATTAAGGTCATTATTATGATGGTGAGTGAACCATGATGCTGTTGAGGTGTATGTTTAGTAGGATAATTAGTGTCCTAATGATAAGGGTTAGCATAACCCTGATCATTTGATGGATAAGGGTTACATAACTCTGATCATTTGATGGAGTTTCTATAAACTTTATTCAAATGTTACTTGAACAATTTAATATATGGCAGCCCAGCATTGGTAAGACGGAGAATAGTTTAGTGCTTGAATAAGAGCAACATTTTCTTGGTGTTGAGAAACACATTGCAAGGTGCTTTCCCATTGATGTCTTCTAATCGGCATTTTTTAAATTATAATTGACTCATTATGACAAATCATTCTTCAGTAGTGTCATTTTCTGATTGCATTATTCAAGTTATTTTTGTACGTGTGTAAACTATGTACATAAATATCTTAATACTAGGATTTTTTAGTTTCATTTTTAGGCACAATAGTTATAAAAACTTTAGACATGATCAAATTATCTTCTCTTAGATTCAGTTCGTTTTATATAGTTAACCAAGGTTTATCATCATATTGCAAGAATAAGGCTTCGTTTGGGACGGCATTCTTATTGCTTCTTAAGACAGTTTTTTAGTATAAAAATTAAATTTTTTTATAAAAATCTACTTTAAGAAGCAATAATAAAGCTGTCCCAAATGGAGCCTAAGTGTCTTGAGACTACACTGGTAATGCAGTGGAAAAAGTAAATTGTTTTTTCCAGCTTATTTATAGCCAACGGAAGAATTTTCTTGCTAGTAGGCTAATTTGTTTACATTGCAGGTTGATGCAGCTATTGTTCGTATCATGAAGACAAGGAAAGTTCTTAGCCACACACTTCTAATAACTGAACTATTCCAACAGGCACTGCATCAAACCACCCAACATTCTTGCAGCTCAACACTCTTATTTGAAAATACATAAACCGTTTTTCTTTTTTTGCAGCTCAAATTTCCAATAAAACCTGTTGATTTGAAAAAGAGAATAGAGAGCCTCATTGACAGGGAGTACCTGGAGCGAGACAAGAACAACCCTCAGATTTACAACTACTTGGCCTGATCCACTTTTCTTCTCAGAACTGTCGCAGCTCCATCCATGTACAGATACAACAAATTTTCCCCTTTTTTTCCCTTCTGAAGCCATCTTCGAAATGACTCTTTTTCTCTTCTCAAATGGATGATCACCAATTGCTAAAAAAATGTTCCAATCATCTTAGAATCAGCCATATCGTCATTCATCTTATTTAATGTTTATGTTACCAAATTATCGGTAGTGGAATTCATTATTGATCTTTAGCCTTTGGAGTTCCAAATGGCATAAATATCTTTTGGGTTTAGGGTTTAAAAAGTTTGCTTTTATCTGCAACAGAGCCATCAATTTTACCAGTTATAATGCACTGTACTGTTAGGTGATATTGCAGGAAGAACAGTTTATCTTATCGTTCATATTCATGGGAAGAACAGGCAGGACTTTGCAGTTCAAGGTAATGGACTGCTTCCAGTTTCTGTTTACAATCAGTCTCTGCTGGAAGTAAATTGTTTCGGTTTTTTCAACTTGGTTTTCTTCATATTGTTTGAAAATTTGTCTTCTCTTTATCTCTTCTAACAAATCTCGGTGGTACTTTTTATTTTATTGTGAAATATTTTATCTATTTCATTCAAACTATGTTACTAGCCCGTTGGCCTGCTAAATATGAGGAATAATTTTTTTTACTTATTTTAAAAATAAATTTTTAGTAGAAAAAATTTTAGTTTGATAAATTTTTTACTAAAAGTTATTTTAGAAAGAAGTAAGAAATTCGTTTTATTTAAAGTAGTTTTTTAGTATAAAATTTTATTGAACTTAAAAATGTTTATTAAAAAGTTGTTTTAGAAAGCAAAAAATTATTAGTTCTGTTGCTTAGTTTTATGTATCAATATTTTAATATAAATTATCTCATGAAGGGTTTAGGATAATTTGAATAGAGTTAGTTTTATTATGGATTATTATTTTTTTATTTTTTAAAATAATTTTTGAGTACAAATATTTTTTGAAAATGGTAAAAAATAGTGATTAGAATTATCTTAAATAAAGCCTTAATGAAGATGATTATAAAATATAGCAATTAATTTTTTTTATACAACACCCTAAATATTCCATCTATAGATAGTATAACTTAAAAATTCCTTTTTAAATATTATCTTATAAATATTTTCTCCATTAATATGATTATATGAAACGATAAATTTGTTAAACCTTATTCTATGCTACAGTAATAAATGTCAAGATCCCTTAGCTCTTTGATATTTTCTGTTTATTATTTTAATAAAAAATTAGATGAATATACCATAATTGCACAAATAAAATTCAGTTACCATTTCTATATTAAGAAAATTAGATGTTAATTATTAAAAAAAAGCAATGTAAATAGAAATGTTAGGCGTCTTTTTCACATTTGCGGGATTACTTTAGAAAAAAATTGTATTTTATTCACTAATTTCTGATAATATTAAAGAGAATTTGATATCGGGATTTAATGATATTCAATTAATTTTAAAAATTTTAAATTATTTAAAATTTGTATAATATTTGATTAGTGAATTTAAAATATTATCATTAATAAAATCCAAATAAAATCGACAAATATGAAATATCAGCCAACCGCTACCGCTATTTCCTTCGATGCCACCGCTAATCTGTTCTGTCGCCCAGTTCCGCCTACCCATAGCTCCGTTCATCCACGCCATGGCCACCGACTCTTCCACCGCCACCAACGGATCCAACACAGCCTTTCCTCGCCGCATAGTAATATGCGGCGGCGGAGTCATTGGCGTCTGCACCGCCTACTTTCTTGCTTCCAAGGGCTCCACCAGTGTCTCCGTCACCGTCGTCGAGAGATCCTCCATCGCCTGCGCCGCCTCCGGCAAGGCCGGTGGTTTTCTAGCCCTCGATTGGTGTGACGGAACTCCCGTCGCTGATCTGGCCCGTGCCAGCTTCCTTCTCCACCGATCCCTTGCAGATCTCCTCGACGGCCCCAGGGCCTACGGATACCGGGCCCTAACAACTCTCTCGCTCCCACTCTCCGCATCCGGCGCGGCTAGATCGCGAGCGCCGGCGCTTCCCTCTTGGATTGACGGCTCCGGCGTCGCACGGCCGCGGACGATCGGAACCCTAGAGACGACAGCGCAAGTTCATCCCCAGCTATTTACGAGGGCAGTTTTGTCGTCAGCGACGGCGGATTATGGAGTTCAGGTGGTGTTTGGAGAGGTGCAGAATGTTGAAGTCGAGGGAACCGGTGTTAGGCTTCGAGATGGGAGGATCTTGCCGGCAGATGTGGTGGTGATTGCGCTTGGACCGTGGTCGAGTCGCTTGCAGATAATTTCCGACCTCTTCCATGTCTCTGGCCTCAAGGCGCATAGCATCGTGCTCCGGCCGCAGGAGCCTGCTGTCATTAGCCCCCATGCGCTCTTCCTCAGCTACCAGCCTTCTCCCGGAGGCAAGACCCTGGACCCGGAGGTCTACCCTAGACCCTCAGGTAACAAAAAAGATGAATAACATTTGCTGAGATGAGAATGAATGTTTGTTTTTTTTTTAAATCCTAAAAAGATCTGTTGATAGGGAACATTTATCAATGCTTTCAATTAAAATTTATCAAACAGGAGAAGTTTACATATGCGGGCTATCAAAGGAGGCTACTCCACCTGACAATCCAGAGGATATTGTGGGCGAGCCAGAGTCAATCGCATTGCTGCATCAGATTGCCGGCAGAGTGTCGAGCCACCTGAAAGCTGGCGTTGCGGAGACTGTGGCAGAGCAGGCTTGTTTCTTGCCTTGCACTGTTGATAGCTTGCCGGTCATTGGGGAGATTCCTGGTGCCAAGAACTGCTACGTTGCCACCGGCCACAGCTGCTGGGGTATTCTCAACGCTCCGGCCACTGGAGCGGCCCTTGCGTCCTGGAATATTCGCGGCGGTAGAGAAATATTTAGTTTAACGTCTTAGCATTGTACGAAGATCCAGTACACAAGCAGATAAGTGAGAGGGTGTAACATTCATAAGAGACACCAGAGTTTTTACGTGGAAAACCCCTGAAAAGGGGGAAAAACCACGGGGCCTGGCCCAGTTTGAATGAATCCACTAGTATTTGTAGTCGATTACAAATGAGGCCCTTCCTTAGGAGAAGGCCTTGGATTGATGTAGCAAATGTACATCATATAGATTGCATTACATGGTAAGAGTTACATATACAGGTTTGTTTGGCCTGAAGGACCGTAGTCAGCCGGAGACCGTAATTGGCAGGAGACCGTAGTCGGCCGGAGACCGTAGTCGGCCGGAGACCGTAGTCGGCCGGAGACCGTAGTCGGCCGGAGACCGTAGTCGGCAGGAGACCGTAGTCGGCAGGAGACCGTAGTCGGCAGGAGACCGGGGTCAGAAAGACCGTTGTCTGTTGATGGAGGTCGGAAGGACCATAGTAGGCGACAAAGGCCTGAAGAACTGTAGTCGGCAGGAGACCGTAGTCGGCAGGAGACCGTAGTCGGCAGGAGACCGTAGTCGGCCGGAGACCGTAGTCGGCAGGAGACCGTAGTCGGCCGGAGACCATAGTCGGCCGGAGACCGTAGTCGGCCGGAGACCGTAGTCGGCCGGAGACCGTAGTCGGCCGGAGACCGTAGTCGGCCGGAGACCGTAGTCGGCCGGAGACCGTAGTCGGCCGGAGACCGTAGTCGGCCGCAGACCGTAGTCGGC